TGTGTGTGTGTGTGTGTGTGTGTGTGTGTGTGTGTGTGTGTGTGTGTGTGTAGAGAGAGAGAGAGAGAGAGAGAGAGAGAGACTAAGACACAACTTGATTTTTAAAGTAACTATGAGGCAAGGCTATGCTCCAATGTGACAGGGTCAGAGGGGTTCATGTTTGGCAATAAAGTTTATAGAACTTGGGCCACAGAGATGGCTCACTAGTTGATAGCAACTACTTCTCTTGCAGATATACCTGAGCTTTGTCTTTAGCACCCACTTTGGATGGCTTACAACTTCCTGTAACTCCAGATCTAGGCGGATCTAGACCTTTGGCCTCTATAAGCACTACATTCACATGTACAAACCCACTCACAGATACACGTGCAAACACATGTTTGAAGATTTTTAAATCTTTCAAAATGCATAGAGCTCTTTTAAAACAAAGTTTTCTTCTTAATGTTCATTGGGATCTAATCAATGGAGAATAAAAGGAAACTATAGGGCAACAAGCAAAGGATCAAATAAAACACAATCAACTTTTCACTGTAGATGTGTTGTTCATAGATTATTTATTGTTTTTACACAGACTACCACAGCCATCAAAGACTGTCAAAAAAGAGACTCATCCCTCTCTAACCATAGGCTCTCTGCCAATACTTTTTCCTTGATAGTAGAATAATCCTACCAAGGGCCAAAAACCTGAAGATAATCAAAAAGTAACAACCCAAGTCAGCCACCTACCAGCTCAATTCATTTCCTCCTTGATGAAATGAGGTAGCTTTAGGGCAAGAAGTAATGATGCCCCCATCCAATCAAAACTCCAGGGAAAATCAAAACAAACAAATGTGATTATTGGATTGGAGCTGTTATTCAGCAATATCTTTCAAATTTAATGTTCATATCCACATGGAAACAGAGAAGCATCCTGAGACACAACTGCTTTCCTCCTTCATCCCAAATGGAAATACCAGAATACTAGAACTGGCAGTAAGTTTAACTTTAGCATAAATCTTAGGAGACTCTGCTAAGTTTTTACAAACCTACTTTGATATGTATGAACTAGATTATTTGAGATTATTTTTCTTTTCTTTTTGTTTTTAATTAAAGTTTTAATTTTTAGATTCTTTTTTCATACAATATATCCTAACTACAGTTACCTCTCCCTCCACTCTTCCCAGCTTCTCTCCCATATTTACTCCCCTTCCATTTCCCTTCAGAAAAGAGCAAGGCCTCAAAGAGACAACAACCAAACACAACAAAACAGGATACAATAAGACAAAGCAAAAGCCCTCATATCAAGGGAGGACAAGGCAACCCAACAGGAAAAAAAAAAAAAAGAATCCACAGAGCCGGCGAAAGACTCAGAGACATACCCACCCCCACTGTTAGGAGGCCCATAACAACACCAAGATAACAGTCATTACATATATGCAGAGGACCTGGTGCATATTCGTGCAGCTACCATGAATGCCACTTTTTGTTTGTTTGTTTGTTGTTTTTGTTTTGCCAGTGTTTGGTTCTACCCAAGAGCTCTAAGCTATCTAGTCTCTGGTTCCTGTCTGTCCAGGCAATGTAGGGCATGGGCTCCCTTTCATGGCATGGGCCTCAAGCTAAACCACACATTGGTTGGCCACTCCCACAAGTTCTGTGTCACCATTGCCCCAGCTCACCTTTCAGGCAGAACAGATTGTAAGCCAAAGATTTTGTGGCTAGATTGGGGTCCAGGCTTGTTTTTCTGTAGCCTGCAGTGTACCTTCCCATGCCAAAGAGATTAGAAGGTAGGGGTGAAGGATTCATGGAGGTACCAGCTCAACCTCTTTACTTTCAATGAACTGTGTGAATGTTGTCCTTCACAATGGGAGCCCACTGTCAGTTTTTGAACAAAGAAGTCATATTCCTACAATCATCCCTGGTTCTTTAGGGTTCTCCATGGGACTCCCTCAGCCAACAACTCAACTAAATGCAACCCAGTCCCACCACTGGAAATCTTGCCTCACTACAAAAGATGGCCAGTCCAGACTTCATATCCTCCATTACTAGGAATCCTTACAGTGAATGTCTGCAGGTACTCACACATGTGCGTGAATATCTTTAATGTCCAAATTAGGAATCTAGAAAGGGTACAGCATCCAGTCCAACCAAGATGTCCATAAGGAAAACCTCCACCCAACATTTCATCAGTTTTCAAACTTTTGCTCTATTGGAATAAAAAGGAAAGAAAAGTAATACAAATGAGGTTATATGCTACCATCATCGTGGCTATTTAAACATACATTCATTCCTTCTATAAAGGGTTCTCTATTGTGCTCTTACAACTCAACAATGGTTTCCTGGCATTCTGTATTAAGACTTCTAGTGGATGGAGGAGATCACCAACCCACCCACAGAAACCTCAATCCAAACATTCCTTGCCTACAAGACCTGCAGAAACAAAGATAAAGCAGATGGAGCAGAGATTGAGGGCATGTCCAACTAATGGAGGGCCCAACCACTCCACGGAAGAAAGCCAACCCTTATCACTATTAACAATACTCTGATATGCTTGCAGATAGGATCCTACCAGAGTTGTCCTCTAAGAGGCTCCACCCAACCACAATTCAAAGTGGACAGTAAGGCTCATAGCCAAACATTGGGTGAAGCATAAGGAGTCTCCTGGAAAAGAGGAGGGAAGGATAAATGGACTTAGACAAAATAACAAAATCTTTACAAGAAGACCAACAGAGCCAATTAATCTGGGACCATGGAGGGGCCTATGGAATCTGATGCACTTGATAAGCTGGAGTCAGATGGTAGGGGAGGAAGACTCCTCCTTTCTTAGGACTAAGAGATAAGGGGAAGGGGAGGAAAGGATGGAGGGTGAGATTGGGAGGAGATGAGGGAGGGGGATACAATCAGGATATAAGGTGGATAAATTATTTAGATAGATAGATAGATAGATAGATAGATAGATAGATAGATAGATAGATAGATAGATAAGAAAAGAAAATAGCTATATAGCTATTCTGGTCCCAGGTGTTACAGAAGCAGAGGATTAATGTGCAGACATGGTCAAGTCCAAGAACCACACCACACACAACTAGTCCTGCAAATGGCACAGAAATGGTGTCAAGAAACCCCAGTCACAAAAGATACTAATCTCTTTAAGGGGGTTGACCCCAAGTGTCTGAGGAACATGAGCTTTGCCAAGAAGCACAACAAAAAAGGCCTGAGGAAGATGCAGGTAAACAATACAAAGATAATGAATGTGCATGTAGACACCATCAAGGCCTTTATGAAGCCTAAGGTCATTAAGCCCAAGATGCAAAAGGGCCCCAGCTGCAAACTCAGCAGTCTGGTTTTCATCAATCACCCCAAACATGGGAAGCAGATTCAAAGCTACATGGCCAAGGCTAGTAGGCTCTCCATGTAGCTTTGAACCTACAAGGTTCAAACCAAAGCAAAGGTTGCAGCTCCAGCTAAGATCCAGTCTTCAGCCCCAGCTCAGGCTCCTAAAGGTGCCTCGACCCCTGTGAATGCCCTATAGAAAAGGCCAATGTAAAGACAGATGAACTGGTATGCCATACCTATCCACACACTATCTACAGTGTCCTGTGCTGTTTTTACAAATAAATCTGGGGCAAAATATGTTAAAAATAAATAAAATAAAATATCTCCACAGGCTCATGTGTCATTAGCTCATTTAGTCATTAGCTGGTGGAACTATTTTGAGGGGCTGTGGAGCCTTTAGGGGGTAGGGTCTACATGGAGGAAGTAGGTCAGCAGGAATGGGTCTTTGTGTGTGTTATCACTGGCTGCTCCTAGGCGTGCTTTCTCTGCTTCTTGACCAACCAAGATATGAGGAGTCTTCCCTTGCACATGTTCATGCCACCATGCCTTCCCTGTCTGCCCACTCTTTCAAACTTCTCTTAAGTTGCTTCTTTACAGAATTTGCTCTCAGCAACTAGAAAGTAACTAATACAGACAATTGAACCACTGATACGCAGAAAACTCTACTGAGCCCCATTAAAACTACCCTGAACACACAGAAGTGACTATCCATAAGGAAGCAGGATTACTAGTCTCCATTGCTTCTTTGAGCATTGGCAGGTAGTGGTTTCAGCGGCAAGTAAGAAACTACCAAACTAAGAGTGGCCTCAACAATAAAGACAGTAAATTTTCTCAAATAGCATGAGGCGCTCATATAGGCTGTCCAGATCTGAGGTGACTATTAAAGAACTTATCTTTCTGCAAAACTGTCCTTAGCGTAAAAGCCCCTAGGCTTTTCAGCCTCAGGCTTTCAAGGTGACTGTCATAGCTCCAGTTTTAGGTATCTCAAACACTATTCCACAGTAACAAAAAATGGAATCAGTCTCATCACCAACTGTGATCTCATCAGAGAAAAAAAAAAAAAAAAAAAAAAAACAAACAAAACCCTTCCTGGATCACAATTTGTTCTGTATGGGTTTTACTTAGAAAAGATAAATAAATAAAAAAGTGCTCTTAGGCTTATCCTTAGAGCTATGACCCAAGGAGAGTTGGGCTGTGCTGCATACCTTCAACAAAATGGGATAGGATTTGTCCTCTACGATTGAGAAGCAGTCTGTCCACCTTTCCTGGTAAAATCAGATGAGGGAAATGAGTTTCTAAAAATAAAGAAGGATGGAGTAGAAATCGAGGTTAGACAGCAAGGAAGAGCAATCTCCTGAATCCTCAACTTTTTTTGAGGGTCTGTGTGGCCACAATAGGTATCTTGGTTCCTTTTGTGAAGGACCAAAAAGAGCTTCACTTGACTCGGTGTCTTAGTTGCTTTTGAGTCTCTGTGACAAAATACCTGACAGAACAATGTAAGCAAAGAAAGGCTGGGTTTTGCTCTTCGTTCCAGACGCTTCTTTCTGTCACAGTGGGGATGGTGTGGTGGAGCAGAACCATCCACAGTGACAAAGGTATGAGGCAGAGTTCATTCACATTACAGCTGACCAGGAAGCGTGGAGAGAGAAGCCAGAACCAGCGGTCAGGGATAACCTTCAAAAGCCTACCCAAAAGGCTTGTTTCTACCAGTTAGACCCTGCTCATAAATGTTTCGTGGCCTCTCAAAGCAGCGTCACCAGCTGGGAACGGGAGCTCAACACATGAAGTTGGGGAGATCGTTAGATTAATTAATATTTAGACTCATAACTGTTCTTGAGATGGCTAAGTGAGCTCTATCCTAACCAAGAATCATAACCTATACACTAGAAATTAGAAAAGAAGTCAGGTTTTAATGTTTTATATTTGTATTTGTAAGTGTGTGTATATACAGAGATGGGTGGATATTACATACACGTACATAAGCATGCTCATGTACATGTGTGAGTACACACATACACACAGGCTTATGTCATCTATTTTCATGGCTTTAATGTTCATCCAGACTTAACCCCATGGAATTGCCTCAGAGAAACGGCCTCCCTTGCTAGGCACTTATTCAATTATGCAGACCATGTGATGGCTTCAGTCTATTTACCCAGAGACTTTCCCATCAATCAGCACCACTGAAAATAATTACAGCTTCATTTAAATAAGTGCTAAATATCCCAAAGCTAACAAAGGATGGAATTAAATCCAATCCTGGCTTCCTTTCCTTGGGCTTGCAAAGAGCAGTTTCAACCAGTGTCCAACACCCTGGAAGCCCTCTTTTGGTGTGAAAGCCATTAGACCACAGTTATCAACTAATGAGGCAGTAAGTGTTTGGAAGCAGCTTAAACTACCTCAGCAGATCCAAGTTAAAATAAGGCAAATTAGTAGTAAAAATCAAATTGGTTTAAACTGTGAAGTGAGTGTGAAAACTATTCCCCTGAAAAGAAGCATTGGGTCGAATTGCTGCACTGGGACACAGAGGATGAGTTCAACTTGCAGGAGAAAAAAAAAATTCTACTTTAATGAATTTCATTCTTTAGAAGGTAGTGTATCCTACCTAACTGTTTAAAAGACTTTATTCAGAGGGAAGGAGGTGGAAAAAGATACCCAGACAGATAAGTAGCTTTGAGTCCTCTATCAACGAGGTGTGTATTTTCTTAAACTAGAACATTTGGGGAAATGAATGTGGGTGTGTAGTGATTCCTTATTACACAAAATGGCAGGTGTAAACTGAGAGACACCTAAATTTTCTGACAATGTTAGGAAGAATTCCAAAGAACCTAATAGGATGGAGAAATCTTCTCTACCTGTAATGCTCAGGAAACTTTAGACATCTGCTTTGAGGATTGAACAGAAAAAAAAAAAAAGTGTAGTACAAATGTCAAAAAAAATTAAATTTCTTCCACTTCTTCCTCTTTGATCTACGCCCTAGATGCCCAAGTCTCCTCTTCAGGAAACAATGAAAGATTATCAGCAGAGATTGAAGTTTGTAATTTAAATCATTCAACTTCACATTCAGTAGTTTAAAAACTCAAACTCATGACCATTCAGTTCATCCTGCCCATATATGTCCACTGTTTCATTCAGATGTCCCCTTACATTTAAATTTCTCATCAATATACAAAGATTGGAATGTTATACAGCCACACCTCTGCAAAATCAATATATGACAGGGGTCTCTGTGCAAGACAGCACTCAGTAAAACCGAATGGTTTCTAACCCTCTGTCTTAGATTGTTTTTAGGAATGAAGAGTGGCAGGCCAAAGGTTGACTGGAATCTGCTTATAGATGATTCAGAATGAGAAAGTGAAGAGGAAATGTAGTTCAGAGAAAATATGCCCTGAATGTGCTTTGTTCTGAGACTGCCAATCTCTTGAGGAGCTCTGGAGTACCCTCAGACTGAAAATACACCTAATTTCTGTAGTCTTTCATCCCTCTGTCTTGGCAATCAGCTATTGCAGGGATGAAGCAAAAACCTTAAGGTACTTTCCTTGTATCTTGGGATAGAATTTAGTGAGGGATACTTCAATGAGCTCTTGATAGCCAGGTGTGGAGGATTATGATACCAAAAGAGGGATATTTGCAAAGGGCATAAAAACACACACTATTCTCCTATTAAACAAGGCTTGTTCTCCTCAGGTCACATATGACTGATGGCATTGTCAGTGTTGGGCATGTGCTCCCTCTTATGGCATGGGTCTCAAGCTGGACCGGTCATGGGTTGCCACTCCTACAAATTCTGTGCTACCTTTACTCCAGGACATTGTTCAGGCAGGGCAAAATGCAGGTTGAGGGTTTTGTGGCTAGGTTGGTGTCCCAGTCCCATGATGAGAAGCCTTGCCTAAAGACAAAAGATGGCCAGTTCAGGTTCTGTGTCTTCCATTAGTGGGAGTCTTTAGTAGGGTCACCCTCATAGAATCCTGGAACTCTCTACAACACTAGGCTTCCACATTGACACCCCCCCAAGTATCCTCCAATTCCACTCATTTCTTCCCATACTCTCTCCAAATTGTAGGAACCAGAGGGGTCAAAGACACCAGAAGAACACAACCCACAGAATCAACTAAGCTGGGCTCATAGGTGCTTGCAGAGACTGAAGCAGCGATCACAGCTCCTGCATGGGTCTGCACTAAGTCGTCTGTCAATATGCCATGGTTTAATCTTAGAGTTTTTGTAGAACTAACAGTGGGACTGGAAATGCGTCTGACTCTTTTGCCTGCCCTCGGGACACTATTCCTTTTATTGGGATGCCGCACCCAGCCCTGATAGAAGGATTTTTGCCTAGTCTTATTGCACCATTTCATGCCATCTTTGGTTGGTATACTTTGGAGGCCCACTCTTTTTTCCCAGAATTTATTTCATTTTTTATTTATTACAGTGTATTCACAATGTATTTACAAATTGCATCCCACATGTAGCTCCCTCCCTCATTCCCTTCTAATTCTGCCCTCCCTCTCTCTTCTTCTCCCATGCCCCTTCCCCAGTCCACTGATAGGGGAGGTCCTCCTCCCCCTCCCTCTGACCCTAGTCTATCAGGTCTCATCAGGACTGGCTGCAATGTCTTCCTCTGTGGCATTTTAAGGCTGCCCCCTCCCTCAGGGGGAGGTAATCAAAGAGCCAGCCACTGAGTTCATTTCAGAGAAAGAAAGAAAGAAAGAAAGAAAGAAAGAAAGAAAGAAAGAAAGAAAGAAAGAAAGAAAGAAAGAAAGAAAGAA